CTGTCTGTCTCTCCCTTTCTGCCCAGTCAGATCTGTTAACCCAAACAAAATTTACCCATAACTTACCCCCAAAGAGATAAAGCCAAAGTAGTAAATGCAAATCCAAAGTTCCCAACCAACAAAGGAAATACTGCTATGGGAGGGAAAAGCTTGGTCCAGGCACAGAGACCACACGCCTCCAAGACCGATGTCTGTGGGACCTGCAGTCGCTGCTGAAGCTTGCAAATGCTTCTGGAGAACAGGTGATTAAACCCAAGCTTCAAAATTACCTCAGCCTTATCCTCAACAGAGGAAGGTTTGGGGTGGTTTTTTTTTTTAATTAAAGGAATTAATATAAGATGAAACAGAAAGGCAAACAGCAGAGAACTGTGGTTTTCCAGGTAACTCGTCCGACACAGCTCAATCTTTGTGCAAGGCTGATCAGTCATCAACACGTTCTGTTCTGAAACTATGTTAAGATGTTAGTTAGCTCACTTTGCTCTGTCACAAACCACTTAAAAAAATAAAATCAATCCCAAGTATATAAACCTATGCTAAAGGGAGACTATTCAGAGCAACTGTTTGCGGCATGGCATTGCAAGAGCTTCCCCCCCTACATCAGTACCCTCCAAATGGAAGAAGCCTCCAGAGGTCCTGTCCCACCCGAACTACCCTGTGACCCCAAAGAGGCTCCCCAGCCTCCCCCAGAGCCCACCCTTGCCCCACTGCAGGGCTGCCGGGGGGTCCCATTGGGTCCCCAGGCAGGGAGGTGCTCGCAGCCTCTCCGGCCGTGCCCAGGAAGGCACAAGCACCTTGCTGCAACACACTCCTTCCTGGGTCATTGTCTGCTTCGTTTTCTAAAAAGTTTATGGAAATAGAGCATGCCACGCCATCCTCTATATCCCCTCCCGAGGTGGGAGCTTTGCACACTGAAAGAAGAAGGTTGTACGAAGATTAAACGTAAAAGCCGTAAAAGGTTTAAATTTGAGCCTCCTGCATTCTTTCATATAATGTCTCCGGCAGCTGTCCCACCACCAAAGACAGGGAGTTAAAACACAATTACAGGGTACGCATGGGGGGTTAGAGCTGATAACCTTGAAAGCAGAGAAACTGAGCGCTCGAGCAGTAAATAGCTGGCTCACCAAGGAAAATTCTTGAAATAACTTTTTCAGTGGCTTCAAAGCCTTTATTGAAAGTTTAATTTAATGTAACTTTAATAAAAGTTTCAAGCTTAACAGAGGTAAAGCTTGCAACTGTTATTTATAGAATCATAGAATCATTTAGATTGAAAAAGACCTTTTAAGATCATCGAGTCCAACCATAAACCTAACACTGCCAAGTCCACCAGATATAACTTGGGGTCACTACAATACTTCATTTTGTCAATAGGTAAACAGATATAAACACTAATTCACTGCCAGCTGCCGAGACCTACATGTGCACACAAATATTTTCCATGGAGAGCAATATTTGCCCATAAAATGCACAGCATGCTCGCTGAGTATAAAGGGAAAACCAAGGAAAAATCATCTTCAATTCTCAGAAAACATGCATATTTAAAATACTGACTAGGTTACACTGCAAACTGTGGCTTATACTTTATTTTGATTATTTTCTTCCCTCTTGAACTCAAAGACAGTTGTCACAGGTCACTTGTGAAAAGCAGCAGGCTAGTAGGACGAAAAGAGCCATCACAACAACCATGGGGATGTTCTTGTTTTCATTTACACATCACGCATGCACCACCTCGCTGCGATGAGCACTTCCCGGCAAGGCCCCACAAGCGGCAGCAGCTCCGCTCCCACGGGAGGCAGAGCCAAGCTCCTGCTCCGGGCTGGCAGCAGCCGCGGGGTGCCCGTGTGCTGTTGGGCCACCCCGGCTGTCACTCACCAGGGTCACCGCTCCTTGGGGTTTCGGCATCTGCCATGCTCGGTTTAATGGCCAGCTGCCTTTGCCAGCCTCCAGGTTTCTTCCTCCTGCCAGCAAAATGCCACACTGCGGCACACACCGACAGCCGGAATGCATTTCTCATGGCAGAGCCCGGCGCTGGGCTGCACTTGGGGTTGGAGGGAGAAGGATGGGTTTGTCATACCCTTACAGCAGCATTTTCATGCACAGGTAAATTATAGGAAGGAAGCCAATTAATACAGGCTGTCTCAATTAGCCAAAACAAACTTTTACAAAAAAACAGACTTTCTTATATGAAAAATTCCACATTTATCTACTTCTTTAAACTGCCCCTATCCACCCATTAACAGCAGAAGTAACAGAAAAAAGCTTTTTCCATTAAACAACAGAAATACCATCATCACCTTCCTTCCTAAGGAGGACCACCACCTTTTGCTGGGAAGCTTGCGACAACTGCAACTTCCCCAAAATACTATTCAGACACAATTCCTGTCCCAAAGAGCTTGGAAGATAACACCAAAGGTGACAGAAGTGGTGAAGGGTTCAGGGGTGACTGCGGGAACCCCAGGGCAGTGCTCAGGCACCGGCGAGGACTAACCCATAACAGAACAGCACAGCGCTGCACTTCACTTCCCCATGGGCAGCAAATGAAGTGGATGTCAGGAAGGGATCTGGGGACCGACACTACGACAAATCCCATTTGGATGAGCAGGAGAGATAACATGCGCAGGCAAGAGCAACGCAAGAATTGGTGTCCCCTGGAAGCAGATGATAAAGAGCAATTGCAGGTAGCAACAGGTACAGGCAGAGGGGAAACTAATGGCAGACTCTGCTGGGAGCACCTGGGAGAGGGGGAACACTGCAAAAACTCCCAGCAGGGACATGCAACGGTCTGATCCCCAAGTTCAGCACTGCCATCCTGGCAGCTCTGCTTCTAATGAGCAGGAAGGGATAATGCACACACCAGAAACTGGAGGAGAGCTGCTGCGACCAAGAGAAGCGATGCAAGGGGCTCAGGCATCAGTCTGATCCAGCGACAATGGGTTTGAATACAGACTAGTAATTGCAGCAAGGCAGTGATTCTGAAGCCTTTTAGAAAAATAAATTTTATTACTCATACAGTGGCAACATCTATACTGTAAAATGAACTGATGGTACAAAGGCTTTGAACAGATAATACTGTTAGTGCTTGTACAATAAGCTCTCAACTAGTCCACCGAGACAGAGGGCAAGATTTGCTCAGAGAGACATAAAAATTGCTAGTTAATGCCCAACCCTAACAACATGAGGCTTATTCTCAATTTAATAACAGGCGAGTAGGATGCACCGAGTGAATTGATTTGCCTGAGGCTATCCCAGGAGTCAGTGGGAGAGGTAAATCATTGCTCCAAAGCAATGCTGAACAGAGAACTGCCTCCAGGGAAAACACCAAATTTTAGGAAATGCAATTGAATGCTTTTAATTTGTTTTAATTGCTCTGTGAAGTGGGATTTAGGCAGAGGGAACAGCACTGCAACCTGGGAACAGCCAGCCAACACCACTAGCTCCTCATAAACAGGGTGTTCAGCTCCAGGCTGCTCTGCCACGTCACCTCCCAGGAGACTGAAGAGCCCTTGTGATGGCTGAATTTGCCCAGTAAACTGAACTGCTGCGTTAGTTTGGGTGGGAGATTTAATCTCCCTAGACTGCGGTTTCTTTATCCGAGAAGTGGGAATAAAGCACCTGGGAGAAGGGCTCGTGAAGGACTGGTTGTTGTGCGGGCTGTCGTATGCCTTCAGTTTGCCATCTGCATCAGCGGCGGGGGGGAGAAGAGATGCCTTTTAGTACAGAAGCAGCAGGTCACAATTTTGTCAATTCCCAAACCCACAGAGATTACATCAGGTTCTCCCACAGGCCGTACAAAACACATACTGACATCTTCATTGGGCAAAGGCCGGAGGTGCGGAGGGCGCATTCAGTGGAGCCCTGCAGCACAGCACAGGCGGCTTCCAGCCCCGCCATCCACCTCCCGGCCAGGTGCACGCGGGGTACCGGCTCACCAACAGCAGCGGTCTTGGCAGCTCCTGGCTCGCCTCCTTCCAGGGCCAAGAATTCAGACCATTCAAGAGCCCTTGCTCCCAGCACAGCCCAGCCTCAGTCCCAGGACGTGGACTTGGCATGAGACCTACGCCTCCACCCTTCACTCCTGTAGCTTTAGAGCCACGCATCGTCCCCCTGAGCCCAGCAGCAAGACAGGACAGGCAGCGCATCCCTATCCAGGCAGCAGTTCTGCTGTGGATCAAGGGATCGGGAGAACTGGGATCCTGTGACTGGCAGCAGATCCCTTCAGGAGTCTCCTTTCTTTTAGTTTCCAACACTTTAACTTTCTTATTTAGATCCCAGTCTCCTTATACGACAGAATTCCTCACCTTGAACAGAGCCTTGTAAATGAGCCTGCACTGCAACTGAGGCAACATTATAAACAAACAGCTTTCCCTTTTCTAGTAGTCACTTATTTCTGCTGGTGCTTATGTAAGAAAACAACAACAATTTTATTTCTCTGCAATAAAGTTATCAGCTATAATCTCCAAGGCCAAGACAACAAAAATATTGTTTGTTTTTTCAGCACTATGCACACATGTACTGTAACACTTTCAGCTGGGTTGGTGGAAGAACGCAGTAAACACTGTAAAGTGAAAGAGACAGCAGCCCAGTGTATCTGCTCAACAGTGACAGAGAGGCTCGATGAGAATTCAGAGGTGTTTCCCCACCCCGCAATTAAAAAAGGAATGAAATAATAACAACAATCATGTAAATCAATCTTGTTGTCTTTCAGTGTTGGAATAAATTGATAATACTTTGTGCGTAGAAAAAGGTTAAGTGGGTAGAAACTCCCAGAACAGAGGAAAAGCCATAGACACTTAAGATTGAAGTGGACTGTTTGGATCAGAAATTTGGCTCGAGATGGCACATTGCTTCCTCTGCCGGATGAAGAGATAGGCAGCCAACAGCCTAAGAGCTTGCACACCTCAATTTCAGGCACACCGCCACATTAGCATTACCCAAACAGAACAGCCCTCTATGAGAGCAGAGCACTGCGTGGCAGAAGGACAGCAAAGCAGCCGAGCACTAACCTCATCGCTCTCCTCTACGTCCACGTTGCCATTGGCATCATCATCCATCTGCTTGTGGATGTTGCGGACAGCTTCAAAGCTGAGCTGCTCATCTTCATCATGGCACAAGGGCTTGTCAATGCGGCAGAATTCTGCTGAGGAAGAAGAAAACACCAACGTTAGGCAGCCTGTACCAAAAATACCACCATCGTGTTTTCTCACTAAGCTTCTTGTGTTTGAAAAGCACTTGCTGAGCACTTGAGAAAGCATCCCGGTGCTGTCATTCACAGCGGGGGGTATTTGCGACAGCCAGAGTCCTACGAAATCCCTAACAGCAAAGGGCAGGTCATAGCCTCAGCGAGGCTGCTCTTCTCCAGGTCAGCTTCTTCAGCCTTTCCACCACCCCAGGCCTCCCCGTGCTCCAAGGGCAGGTCTCACAGCTGGGGCTTTCTGCTGCATGCACGGCGTCCACCGATGCCCCGCTGGCAGAGGAAAGGGAGGACTGCAGCTATATTTTACCTCCTATTTCATGAGCTTCATTTCTCACTTGGAGATTGTTAGTGTTGGCACAGCGTCTAGTAGGACATTTTGAGAGTAAGAGTTGTATGTTTATATAACATATCAATTAAAAAAAGTTAGCCTTCTTCCTGATTATGAAGTGGACTTTTCTGGCTTGCTTTCACATCTTTTTCTACATTTCAAGACTAACACTCTAAATTTTGCTGCATGCCTGAGTCCATGTAAGCACCAACTGTGGCTGATCCATCCCTTCTATGGCACTGCTGCGTGGCAATGCGTGACTCACCGCGACAGCCGCAGACCAACGCTGCAGCACCGAGACAAAAGTGTAGATGCCAGGCACTGAAAACATCCCCCAAAGGTGAGCTCTTTGTATGACGTGCATTAAGAAAAACGCTTTTGTTTCGCAGAGCCTATATCAGATTCACTGTAAGCAGATAATGATTAAGAATTATCCAGGGCTGACTGCTCTGAGATCGCTGTGAAACCAGTTTAATAGCTCCTGGCCCAGTTCCCATTAGAAATGTTTCATGTTCGAAAAATCAAAGAGAGTTCAGACTGAAATCCTGTGAATTTAAAAAGGAAAGTCTAAATTACATATGAGCTCAAACCAAACTCTAAGATGATCCTCTCAAGACAAGACAAGCTTATTTATAGGAAAATTAGATGGATTCTCTCCTGCTGCTGCTACACACACTGTATCTGCTGCGAGTAACTGGGCATGCGCTCACCTTGCTATCCAAAGATGATCACTGGGACTATCCACCTCTCTGTCACATCTCCACACAACTAGCAAGTACTTGGATTCACTATCAACACAAAAGACCTTTGAACATTACATCCACACAAGTTTGAAAAATTATTTTCATTATTTTAGCACATACTACATGATCCCGATGGAAAAAAAAAAATCCTAGGGAAAGTCCAAAAGCCTCTTAAACAGAGGTTCTGACAAAATATATGTTACCTACCACATTTAAAAATCCACTCAGTTAATTTGCTTGTGAAATTGAGAGCTCCCACTACCAGACCTGCCTGCCAATAGCCCTGCTTTGGTCCTGCCCCTGGGGAGGAACAAGCCCAGGCAACAGCACAGGCTGGGGCCAGCTGGCTGGGAAGCAGCTTGGCAGAGAAGGTCCTGGTGGGCACCAAGCTGACCACAAGCAGAAGTGGCCAAGGGTGTCCTGGGCTGCATCAGGAGGAGATCCTTCCCCTCTGCTCAGCACTGGGGAGGCCACACCTGGACTGCTGGGTCCAATAGACGTACTGGAGAAAGTCCAGTGAAGGGCCGATGAAATGATTCAGGGGCTGGAGCGTCTCTGCTATGAGGAGAAGCCCGAGAGCTGGGGCTGTTCAGCCTGGAGAAGAGACGGCACAGGGCGATCTCCTCCATGTACATCAATACCTGCAGGGAGGGTGCCAAGATGATGGAGCTGGGCTCTTCCCAGTGCTGCCCAGTGCCAGGACCAGAGGCCACGGGCACACACTGGAATGCAGGACAGTCCCTCTGAACATCACGAAACACTTTCCACTGCGAGGATGCCCCAGCCCTGGCAGAGGTTGCCCAGGGAGGTGGTGGAGTCTCCATTCTTGGAGACTTGTCCATCTGGACACGGTCCTGTGGCTCTGGGTGAGCTGGGAGTTGGACCAGATGGACCCCAGAGGTCCCTTCCCACCTCAGCCAGTCTGGGATTCTGTAACAGCACCAATGTCCAGATGTAAGCACACAGCCTCCCACATGCAGGAAACCAGACTGACACCGGCTGATGTTGTCAAGTGCATTTCCAGACTTCACCGTGGAAAATCATCCCTCAGCCCTTCTGGAACGGGTAAAAAAACCCAAAACCCAAAACATCACCACAAACCTCAGCTCAACAAATTACACAAACACACACACAGCCACGCTGCATACAGCTGTTCCAGGCGCAGGTTTTGCTCATGTGCAAATGCACGTGATATCAGCTACCAAAGTTTCTGAACTCAGTGCAGCTTCAGCCATAAGCCTACTTATTCTTAAATATCTGTAAGAACTCAGTAAAAACAAACAAACAAACAACAAACAAACCAAAAAACAAACAACAAACTAGAATGCCATGTAAATGCAACACTGTCTTCCTACCTTTAACTGTTGATTTTCCTCATCTTATGTTCCCACCCTAAATACATGGCTCGCAACCAGCCTCATTATGTATCCCTAACCAGGAGACTGGATAAAATGCTGTGGGTTTAATTTTGAGGAACATAAGCCAATAATCAGGAATTTAATTTTAACTTTACTTATCTGCAGCAGAATAAATTATGTTCTTCAAAGTCATATTCTGCTTGAAACAAAGTCACTCAAAAAACCCACTTCGACGGATGTCAGACCATTATTCAAATCAGTCCAAGCTCTTATATTATGCTTGTAACCATTATTTCTGGTGTCTTTATAAATACACATATAGACAAATATATTCAAGATCTTAGCTATAGATTTTGCACTAGCATGTTTCAAATACTGACCTAATTTCATATGCCAACGCATAATATCATACACTGTGAATTGAAAGGGGTTTGTGTGGGGTTGTTTGCTTGTTTTTTACGTAAGGCACCCTGCTCAGATTACCAGGCTCCAGGAGATCCTAACAGCCGATCACCCTTCAGTGCTCCACAGAAAAGTGATATCCTCGAGGTGCTTGATGAATGATCTCAAGAAAATGTATCTGTACCTTAGGTAAACAACTGCACCCTATGCATGCATGCTAAAATTTGCCATGACTAAATATCCAAATCCATTTACACTTTGCTAATAACGATGATTAAGTATGGATAACTATCATCGTCACACAGCCCCCAACCTGTGCTCCACCACCCCTCAAGGCTGGGAGTCTAGAGCCCTCATCACCGCTCCAGGGAAGAGCAAAAGCCCTCGAAACTGCAAACCAAAAAACCTTAAAAACTAGAATTGCCCTAAAACTCCATGTCTGGTCTACCCTTTAGAGCTTTTTAAGAACATACTTCTAATCTCCAACACTGGGGTAAAAATTGGTAGATAAGCCCTTAAATCTTCTGACAGAGGCACAGCAGGCAACTATACTGCTGCAACCCTCCGAGTTTCTGGTATGGCTTCAGAACATGCGCTCTGGTCATGCACAGAGCAGATCACAGCAGGTTTTGTTCATACCTAAAAGTCTCTCTTTTTCAAACCTGGTGAGCAAACTGCCCCAATGGGTTCTTCAGCTCCGGCCCCATGACTCAGTACCGCTGCAGGCAGAGCTGCGGCAGCCCGCACCGACACCAGTGCACGTCCCCAGTACATATAGCCTCAGCCCTGCTCTAGAGCGGCACAGCAAGCCCTGCCACTAATACACGCAGAGCGTCAGACACCAAGGCCCCTCAGACACACCACTTCTCTAAGGTGGCCTTTGGTAACCCATAGACAAACCGTATGTATCAAGGGGAGGCACCCGTTTTTGTTACAAAAGTAGGTTTTTAAAAATGGGCACTCTGACATGAAAACCCGATCATCCTTTAGGGACACGCAGAGGCAAACGGATTGATTGCATGATTTAATGTGGGGAGAAGTCATGCTGTACAATCTGCTGCTGCAAAATAGCACCAACAAGAAATCAGGCTATAGGTATACACACATGCGCATCAGGGAACATGGATCACGTAAGTAACACCACCACAGCAGCTCTTGGCTGGCTTCGTCCCAACATTAACAATGGCTGTCGATGCCTTAATGTAGATCTCACCAGAAGAAACTCCCCGTTGTGTAAACCTGGCTGAGCAGAAGTCCGCAGTAACAAACAAGACTCGCCCATGCTTCACCCACCGGGTTGACACAAGGCGTACCTGCCACAGCCAGAATAAAGCCCCAAGCCGTGCTCCACACCCTTGGGTTATAAACCAGCCCCCCCAGCACCCTGCTCTTCCACCCACCCCTGTATCCAGCCATGCAGTGCTTGGGGTTGGGTTTTCTTTGGTGACTTCTTTTTGGGACATTGTGATCAACGACAACGTATTTCGTATCCAAGCTCTTCTGCGAGTTACAAGTATTGCCAGGCCTGGAACTGGCATAATTTGGGCTGAATTTATAGGCTTAGTTGCATTATCTAGAAAGATCATTATTATTATTATTACTACTACTACTAGGCACAATCTCCTCCTTGTTTGGTTGTGGGAAAAAAAAAACCAAACAAAAAAAACAGGAGAAAATGCAAAACAGTTTAGCTTTGGAAAAACCAGACCCACCAGGCCTCCCTGCAGCAGGGTACTCTAAAATGCTACATGTTGCTTTATTTCCAAATGCAAAGATTCAACCATCTCTACCAAATTACTTTAAATTAACAGCCATTTTCTCTCTCTCCAGTCCAAATTACCTCACATGCCTATTGCTGTCCATTCAACCTTTGCTGACTTCAGTTTAAAAAAATAAAAAATTATCCAGAATTGAGTAAATCAGATTCTCTCAAGTTTGCCTATGAGAGCACTACACATAAAATGTTAGTCAGAAACAGAAAATTCAAAAAATGTCATAAAAGGAGCGATTCCTCCCTCCACTGGCACATCGCTGTGCCCCAGTTGTTGGACACAGAGCTGTGTCCCCAAACCAGCTCCTATGACTGAACCAGAGTCTAAACAAGACCTTTCC